GCGTCACCGGAAGAACTTGCCGGCCGATTCAGCTGTCGGAATCTTCATAAAGGTTGGAGATAATTGAGTCAAGAGTTCATAACAGTTGGAAACAAAGCATTTGGACCACGGAGCCGAAAGATATGGTAATCGGAAGACAGACCTCTCTCGCATCCATTCCGGACCAATCCGATACTCCTGAATGATCGCCTGTCCGGGGAACCTTCCGGTCCGATTCAGCTGTCGGAGGCTTTATCTAAGTTGGAGACGATGGGATCATGGTTCCATAGCAAGTGGAATGATAGAATTCGGACGCGTGAGCAGAAAGTTGAGCTCGTCGGAAGAAACCCCTGTCTCGCTGCCGTCTTGGACCGACCCGATGAGCTCCGAAGAATGCGAAGGACGGCGCACTTCCAGGCCGATTCGATTTCCGAGGCCTTCATAAGAATCCGAGATATTTAAGTCTTCTTTTTATAACGTGCAAGATCATTCAATTCGGAGCTATGAGCAGGAAGATACGGTCTCCGGAATGGACACATGTCTAGACGCCTCTCTCTGATCCTGTAAATGCACTGCGAAGATGAGCCATCCAGGAAGCCTTCCACTTCCCAAGCGCCGATAGTTTCTTCACCATAGATTTATTTAAATGAGTTATCTTTCTCATGGAACTGGTTTCAGGTCATTTGGAGTTATGAGCTGAAAGTTACACTGAACAGAAGAGAAGCTGGTCAATTCGGGTTTTAAGAGATGCGACTGTAAGCTAAGTGTTGTGTCCTACCTCGGCGTGAATACCTCGGCATGTATACCGAGGAGGCATGTTTACGAAGCCTTGGGACTATAACTCGAGGTAGGACTTCGGTCGTTCAACACCAAGGCTCCCTTGATCACCAAAATGATCCCAAAACGACTAAGTGTTGAAGCAGACCTTGGTGTGAACCCTTCAGCATGTTATGCCTAGGTCCTATGTTTCACAAACATCGGGTACCAAGCCCCTCGGCATGTTATTCCGAGGTCCTCATCTCTCCAACCCAGATCACAAACAAATCCTCTTCACGTTTCAAAGCTTTAACCGGATCAAAGGCCAAGTCTCATGCATGTTCTTCAAGTGTTCATCAAAGTTTCAACCCAGCACATGACCCCCTGGTGTATGGCCCTCGGTGTGAGACTTCTTCAGATGGCGAGGGGTGGCTCCAGCAACCCAGAAAGGGCGGGTCAGTACCCAGTTTGTCCTGGGCTGACCCGGCCCACACTCTTTTATATAAATAGTTTTTAGAGACTAAAACCCTAGTTATGCTTTACCTTATCTTCTCAGCTGTTCTCTTTTTGTTTTCTCTCTGCTTCTTAGTGTAAAAACGGGTTTGATCAAGAGATATCTACCAGGTTTAATCATCTTAAAGCTGTTTCTTATCATCTAATCATCTCATCTCTGCTTCTAATCATGATTAACACCACCTCTTGCAAAGGAAATGGTGTGTTAATCATGATTAGTGAGTAGTTATCTTTTAAGCTTCTAGATGTGTAGATTAGGGTGCTTAGATGATCGGTTTATGATGTTTAGGTTCTAGATTCTCATCTCCTTTCCTTAGTTAGCTGCTATTAATGCTAGATCTTTGCACATCACTCTGATCTAGACCTTAGTCATTTCTCCACCCACAAGGTGTTTGATGAAATCTCTGAATGAGCTAAGCTAAGGGTTTATGCCTTTTTCATCATGGGAATGATTTGTTAAATGCATGAATGACATAGTAGAACTGTTTCTTAATGCTCACTGATTCATATTTCACAAATGATGATTTGGTTTGAAAGTGGATTAGTGTAGAGATTAATGCCTTCATGAGAGGATTAGTCTAGATTTGAGTTCTAAGTTAATTAGTTTTGAGATCATGTGATTGCTTGTTGCTGCTTTCTGTGTAAGATTCGGTCTCTTTGAAATAGAAACCGTTTGGTCATTATTAGACTTGATACTTTATGCTTGTTAATTGCTTGATTTTGCTTAAGGTGAATTAATCTTGATTAAATGATTTACAAAGAGATTATTGTCATGGGAATGAATTAATCTGCTTTTGAAGTCTAGACTAAAGAGTAACTTGCATTGCATTATTGTTCTTAGCATCATGAATAAATCTCTATAGCACCCTAATCAATGATCACATCTAGAGGTTTAGCTCTTATCATTTGCTTAATCATCATCATCTTGTTTAGCTTGCTTTGTTTACTTCCTTATCATTGCTTGTTTGTTTCTTGTTTATATTTTCACTTGTTACTTGTCACCAAACCTGTCTTTGATTAGCTTGACTTAAGAACTTATCTTATAAACTAGTGCCTAACTACCACACATATGGATTGACACCCCTTATACTACTTTGACAAGGGGATTGATAACCCTTCTAAGAGCCTCAAAAATCTTAGTTATCACTGAATCAGTTCCTTGATTCCCAAGCTGTTGTTGAAGCCGCCGTACATATGAAAATAGATGCCATCTCAATAGACCTAAACAAGAATTTTAATGATCTCTCTGATCAAGTGAAAACCCTAGAAGGACAGAGACTCAAAGACAATGTAGTACTGAATCAAAGAATGGAATCTGTTGAAGAAGAGCAAGAGAAAAATGCCTTCAACCTTCGACAAACCGAGAGAGGAATGGAAACCCTAACTTTCAAGCTTGATGACCCGGACAAAGATCTGAATGAAAGCAAGAGTAGGAAAGGTTGTTGACAAGACTGAAGAGCTTGATTCTACTTTAGATAGAGTTTTATATGCTATTTATGAAGTAGAAGAGAGAAAATTGAAAGAAATTCTAAGGATCATAAGTATAATGATCAAACTGTTGTGAACCCTGACTTGGAGACAAAAGACACGTCTGAAGATTACTGGAAACAAGAGTACAACAACGGAGAAGAGGAGAATGAAGAATCGAGCATAGCAAGCCAAGGAGAGTTCACTGCGGCCGTGCAAGCTTCAACCGCGGCCGAGCTTGGTCCCGCCACGACTGCACAAGGCTAACACGAGGAGGCATATTTCTCAAGCCCTGAGATTTCTCATCCCTCTACTGAAATATTTTTATCTGGAAATCGACCCCTTGTGAAGACCTCCGCTGTTTAATCAAGCTGTCTTCTCAATCACTGCAGAAGCCACAAAAGAAAGAGAAGAATCCACCATCTATGCACCTTGCAACATGGCTTATTCTTGTGTGAGTGAGTTTCAAGAGCAATATTCTGAAGATGAAGAGTATGGTTTGTTTGTTGATGATGCAAACCCTGGAGATCATTCATCAAGAAGTAGCTCACCAATCCCTGAAGAACAAATAACCAAGAGCATATCTATAGAGAGACTTATCCTTCACGAATTTGATCACCAATTAAGCTCCAAACGTACCTATGACCTGAAAAGACTCCAAAAGACTCGAGAAACACTAGAAAGACTCTATAAATAAGACCTATACCATGGTTAAAAACCATAAAAACCATGATACTGGAACATCGCTTTTGACCAATCACCCTGCAACTCAACTACTGCTTCATCATTCTAAGTCGAACCACCATGTACTTCACCGCAGACATTCACAGCTTCCAAGATTAAGTCCAAATTCCACAACAATTGTCCATGAACCTTCATTGCTGGGTCTCACTGATGATTCCAATGCCAAGAACCTTCTAGACTCTTTTCCATACTATACTCAAACAAATCAGCCATACACACTTTGGTACTTTTCTCTCCCACAGACTTATTCTTTTCGCACACTCATCATCTCTTTTTTTTTTTACGGCGTATACACGATAAGGTTAAAGCTGCGAGTACTGATGGTGTTTGCCATCGAGTCCCAGAGTTGTCCCCTTACCTTGTATCAAAGGTTTTCAGCGAATAGTGGGGTCATAGGAAACTTTCCTACCCCTCGCTTCCTTCCTTTGTGTGATTATTCTAACTTAGAAGTGAAATAATGGGATCCTTGGAAATTTTCCTAGCCCTTCACTAAAAAGCGAAAATCATCTCAATCTTTTTGCCTTTTTCTTTCTTCTTCTTCACCTTTTTTTTTAGCTCGTCACAAGGGAGAGAAACACCAACATTAGATTTCATACAGGCTTTCATTTGTCCAGTATGAACGAGGAATCAAGCTCTATGAACATCAGTCACATCAATGAGGTAAAAGAAAGAGTTCAGAAATCAGCTCAGGTTAGTGGACTCTGTTGGAAACATGGACGCCTGTAGTCAACTGGTCAACCTTTGGATTTTTCATAAGTCGGATCTAGACTGAATCTGCAGCAATGGTCACTTAGATGAAAGGTCAGCACAATAATTCCAGGAAAAGCATCATAATCTCCAACAAGTTTTGACTCAAAAACGTTTTGACATGACTGACTCTTAAGAAAAACAAACACAATGTCAGCGACTACCTCCCCCAGACTTAAACAACACTGTCCCCAGTGTTACCAAGTCCAAGGTTGGTGAAACAAAAGAAAGGAAACAGAGAAACGCAGTAAAAACATAGGAAAATCGGAGAACTTACCTGGCTGCAATGATGGTGTCGACCAACACTGATGATGTTGTCGTGCGACACTTGTTCTCCTCGTACCAAATTGCAGCAGATCCATCTGAATTTTTGGTTTGACTCCAGTTTCCTGATTTCCTAAATTTTTTTTTTTTTTTTTTTATTTACTGCTGTCGACCGACACTGATGGTGGTGTCGCTCGACACCAACCACTTCGTATCTGTTACATCTAAAACACAAAAACGAAAAACGAAAATCAAAAGAAATAAAAATACTTATGTACAGACTTATCAGTGGGTTGCCTCCCACCAAGCGCTTATTTTAAGTCATTGGCTTGACTATGGATAGACTATGCATCTGGGGGATCAGACAGTGGCAAATAGTGCCTCTGTGAAAGTCGTCTCATCCATGGTGGTGTGTAAGCGTTGTGCGCATGAGGTCGTCCAAAGAATACATGAATAGCACTAGGGTGAGATTTGTATATGGACCGCTTTAACCTATTCCCTGCAATATCATCAATTGAAAAACCAAGTGCTCATTGCTTCGGTGGAGATGAATTGAGTGAGATGTTTTGAGCTTCGTGATCAACCGCAGTCACTGGTTCTGTAGACGTTTTCATTAACTCAGGTTGATCTCTCACCTTCTCAGCATCAAGCACGTTCTGATCTCCAACTATCACTTCAGGTATTGCACTGACTTGGAATGTCTGACTATCTATGGTTGAATCCTTCAGTTTCTCCATCTTGAAAGTCATGATGGTATCTCCCAAGTGGAGATCAAGGTTATCATGCTTGACATCAATTACCGCTCCAGCTGTAGCTAAAAACGATCTTCCCAGGATAAGAGGATATTTGGGTTCCTCTCCATATTCCAGAACCACGAAATCTGTAGGAATTATGCAATCACCAACTTTAATCGGAACATCCTCCAAGAGACCTTTTGGGATTCTTTTAGATCGATCTGCTAGGTTCAAAGAGATCTTAGTTGGCTTGAAGTCAGTCATTCCAAGGTTAACAGCTACAGAGTATGGCATGAGCTTGACACTCGAACAAAAATCACACAGCGATCTCTTGAACCTCTCTAAGAAGATAGAGCAGTCCAAAACAAAGCTTCCTGGGTCCGAGAGCTTCTCTGGAATCTTATTTTGAATCATGGCACTGATCTGTTCAGAAATATTCATCACACATTCCTCATGACTCAGATTATTAGTCACCATCCTCTTCACACAACGTCTGAGAGTAGGAGCAATCTTCACAGCATCAACCAAAGGAATCTCAATCACAAGCTTCTCCATCAAAGCCTTGCATCTAGCATCATCTAACTCCTGCTTAGACTTCTTAGGACTCCTTGCGTAAGGAACCTTCGGTTTGTACACACTTTCTTCTGTTAGTTTCGGATTCTGAGCAATTTCAACTTCGCTCTGCGATTGGTGTCGCGCGACACTAGTGGTGGTGTCGCTCGACACCGGCTCTGCTGTTTCGAAATTTTTTTCAGATTCGTCAAACTCCACGATTTCATCCTCAGAAACACCCTTTTTAAGCACATGAGTCAACTTTTCACCACTCCTTAACGAGTTGGCACTGCAGTAATGTCTTATGTTGGTGTCAGTCTTCCCAGGAAGAAATCCCTCTGCAGTTTGAGCAACCTGAGTATCAAGCTTCTTGACATGAGTGTTAAGAGCTTCAATTTTTCCATTCAGATCTAGATACAAAGCATCAATCTTTCCATTAAAGTCCACAGTCATCTTCTGCTGACCTTCTAGGATCTGTTCCAGCATAGACTTCACCTCATTATCAGGAGTTTGAGGAGGAGAAGAACCATAGTTCCTTGAAAAACTGTTGTTGGAGTAGGATGTCTGGTACTGAGGTTTGGAGCTGTAACCAGAAGAGTTCTGATTACCTGTGAAGGTACTCCTCTGATTATTTCTATTGTAATTCGTGTTCCCTGGCTGAATACCAAATCTCTGGCCCTGAAATCCAGCTCCATTAATGAAGTTATCGTCCTCTTCCTCAAGTGCTTCATCTGGTCCAAAATTCTGAACTTCTGCAGAGAATCTGACAGATTTTTTACCCACAAGAAGACTATGCATAGAGTCCAGCTTAGCATTCACCTCAGCAATCTGCGATCCATCCATGTTTCCACCCTGCTTCTTTCGCTGATAGTCTGCATTCTTGGTACTATTGCTAGATGTCAAGTTCTCAATAAGCACAACAGCGTCTCCAGGATATCTGGTGTTGAAATTCCCATTGCTTGCAGCATCAAGAGCCATCTGATACCTCCAATCAACACCTCTGAAGAAAATACTCAGCAGCTGAACATCACTAAAACCATGATGTGGACAATCTCTCTGATATGACTTGAATCTCACCCAAGCAGACTTGAATGCTTCAGTTGGTCCTTGAGAAAACGTTGAGATTTTGAGTCTCAGTTCCTCAGACCTGGCATCGTCATAGAAGTTGTGCAGGAAGGCGTTCCTGGTCTCTTCCCAAGTAGTTAGTGATCCTGGCTCCAACTGCTTCAGCCAGTTAGCTGCTTCTCCAGAAAGAGAATAAGGAAACAGCTTGCAGAAAAGGTAATCATAGGACACTCCATTGTATTTGATGCTGGTGACCAAGTCCTCGAACCTCTCAATATGATCCATCGGGTGCTCATGAGAAAGACCATGAAAAGGATGCTGACCCACAAGAGTGTAATACACAGGCTTGAGCTCAAAGTCGTTCCTCTGAAACGCAGGAGCGCAAATTGCAGACCGATTTGCATAGAATTGCTCAGGTCTGTTGTAGTCACCCAGCGTCCTGATGATGTTACCCTCTCCATCAAGCCGCTGGCCTCTCTCATTACACACATGACCATCTTGGTCTCTCCAAACTCCAGCATCATCACGAACCAATGCCAGTGCGTTCTCCATCTTTGTTAGTTTCTGAGACAAAGAGAAAGAGCAATGTAAGTAACAAAGTAAAATTAAGAAAAACGACAGGTGTCGCGCGACACCACTAGGGGTGTCGCTCGACACTAAGAAAAAACTTAGTCGAAACTCAAGAACTAAAGTTTAATGGTGAAAATCAAGTCCCCGGCAACGGCTGCAAGAGCACAGATGTGCAGTTGTAGTATGTAGGGGTCGAACCACAGAGACGAGAGATTCGCACAATTAACTATCTAGGCTTGAACTATGCTAAGCAAACACAATAAAATTTCAAAGCAACGATGAAAGCAAAATGGTTGTAAACTCGATGGGAAAAAGATAAGGTCAGGGTGTTTCTCAGGAAATCAGAGAATGCAGATCAATCGATTAGTCAGGGTTCAGGTTTAAGCACGGTTCTTGAACTCGAATCACAAAATTATAATTAACCAACTTTCGTTGTGAGAATTATCTAAGTTAAAATTCTAGAATTCCAAATTCCTTTGCAAACCCTAAAGATTTAAACCAGCTTTAATGCTCAAGTTCGATATGTTCACAAAGTATCTAAACCAAATTCCTTTGCGAATAGCTACTTTTCTCACCCTAGGTTTTTTCTAGTTATTCAATTACACTTCCGTGTCAATCAATTAACCTAATGATCTAAGTTCTAGGTGGCCAGTCCATAATTAGTTTTAAGAACAACCTATGGTGAAGAACTAACAGTTATGAACCCTAATTAACAAATCAATCTAAGATTCAATGAAATCTTTTATGAGAACCCTAAACCTAACAATAAAACTACTCAGACATGGAGATTGAAGCAATAAACATGAATGAATAGATTGCAGAAAGCAGTAAATATATTAATAAACAGGGGTTCGAAATCTTCTCTCTCCGGAACAGAGTTTCAGACTTGTCTTCCCAAAAGCTTTCAAAAACAAAAGTTCTTTCTAAGAAAATCTCCTGTCTCTATATAAGGTGGCTAAAACCCCTATTTATAACTTAAAAACACGTTTTGGGCTTCTTAGTGAATATTTGGAAACTTCTGGCCCCAACTCCTTCTTCAAATAGGAGACAGAATTGAGTTTTCCTTATTTATTCGATCGGTGTCGAGCGTCACTCTCCATGGTGTCGAGCGACACTAAAGCACATAATTCATCCTTCACGAATTTGATCCTTGTTTAGCTCCAAAGTGCTCCAAAATCACCAATTAAGCTCCAAACGTACCTATGACCTGAAAAAACTCCAAAAGACTCGAAAAACACTAGAAAGACTCTATAAATAAGACCTATACCATGGTTAAAAACCATAAAAACCATGATATATCAACAAGTCTAACACGAGGAGGCATATTTCTCAAGCCCTGAGCTTTCTCATCCCTCTACTCAAAGCTTTTTATCTGGGTATCGACCCCTTGTGACCAGACCTCCGCTGTTTAATCAAGCTGTCTTCTCAATCACTGCACAAGCCACAAAAGAAAGAGAAGAATCCACCATCTATGCACCTTGCAACATGGCTTATTCTTGTGTGAGTGAGTTTCAAGAGCAATATTCTGAAGATGAAGAGTATGGTTTGTTTGTTGAGGATGCAAACCCTGGAGATCATTCATCAAGAAGTAGCTCACCAATCCCTGAAGAACAAATAACCAAGAGCATATCTATAGAGAGAATTATCGAGTTCAACCACTTTGTGAAGACAATTCATCTCTACCATGGATTCAATGATGTTTGCAAACTAGACTGTCTACAAGTCTTCTTCAAATACATCAAAGAGACTAAGGAGAACATCTACACCTATTTCAAGAGAGCCAGATACCTAACTTTCCCTAGATCATCACCTGATGCATCAGTCTACAGGATTCATCTCAAAGATCCTGAAGAGAGCAGTGATTACACCATAAAAATCAGCAAAAAAAGCTTGAAGAGTTCAATACAGTATTTCAGAGCCTACCCCAAGGAATTTCCTTCGCCAGATTCTGCAAAAACCATATGATCGGTGATATGTTCATAATTTGCATCATTTAGGTTGCATAAATCATTCCAAATCATGTTTTATTTCATGCATTTTAGGTCCTTAGGGTTTGTTTTAGAACTTAGGAGATGCATTAGGTCCCAATGAGTCTTTGCATGTTTTGAGTGTCTATCAGGTGAATATGGAGCTGAAAAGAGGAATCCAGGAGGTGGAATGGTGAGCAAAGCTTGAAAAAGTGGAAAAATTGGGTCTTAGGAGATTATCGGCCATTCTCGCTGGCCAGGAAGGTTTTACCGGCCATTTTCATGTACCGCGGGAAGCTTTACCGGCCATTTTCATGTACCGCGAATGAAGTGTATCGGCCAAAATCTCCAGGTGTGAACGTGCCTCAGAAATCGCCTGTCCGGGGAGCCTTCCGGTCCGATTCAGACGGCGGGTGCTTCATAGAAGTTGGAGAGCATTGGAGCACGGTCTCATAGCAAGTAGAATCGTGAAATTCGGACGCGTGAGCAGAGAGATAAGCTCGTCGGAAGGAACCCCTGTCTCGCAGGTATTCCGGACCGAGCAGATCAGTTCTGAAGGATGCGAAGGACGGTGTACTTCCAAGCCGATTCAATTTCCGGGGCCTTCATTAGAATCAGAGAAATTTGAGTCTTCTTTCCATAACATCCGAGATCAGTCAATTCGGAGCTTTGAGCAGAAAGATACGGTCTCCGGAATGAACACATGTCTAGACGCCTTTCTCTGGTCGTGTAAATGCACTTCAAAGATGTGCCCTCCAGGAAACCTTACACTTCCCAAACACTGAAACTTCCTTCAACAAAGTTGGAGACAAATGAGTCCTCTGTCTTCTGAAACCGGAATCACTCAATTCAGACAAGTCTCCAGGAAGTTATACTCTCCGGAATGCGAGATGGTCCAGACAGCCCAGAGCGACTAAGTTAAGCATGCCGCGATGGAATGCCACGATCCACACTTGGCCGTGGCAACTTTTGTGCACCCTCGGCAAATGACACGATCTTCATGCCACGGTCTACACTTGACCGTGGCAAACACACACTTGGCTGAGAGGAACTTCTTGCAACCTTCGGCGATTGACACGGCCTAAATGCCACGGTCTGAGGCTTGACCGTGGCAACCTCTTGCAACCTTCGGCGATTGGCACGAGCTGAATGCCACGGTCTGGGATTTGACCGTGGCAAATGAACACGTGGCTGGAGACAACTTCTACACAGCTTCGGCTTTTGACACGATTTCAATGCCACGGCCTGAGCCTTGGCCGTGGCAAGCATAGATTTGGCTGGGAAGGATTTCACATGCATGCGGGTTTTGGCACGGTCAGAATGCCACGGTCTGGGGGCTTGACCGTGGCAACCTTTACACATCTTCGGTGTTTGACACGGTAACTTGCCACGAGTTCCAGATGAAGCTTGATCAGACCGTGGCATCAAAAGGAACCAAGAACACAAGTAAAGACTTTGACACGGTCAGGATTGCCACGGTCACTCCAAGAGCACACCAGACCGTGGCAAACCTACACTTACCCATCAAGGCCGGGTAAGTACCCGGTTTGTTCCGGGTTGACCCGGTTTGCCCAAGCCTCTTTTATAAGGTTTTTAGACCTAATTTGTAGAAGACACTTAATCTACTTTTAGTCTTCTTTCCCTTTTGGTGAAAACCTACTTAATACACTTTGTTTTAGAGAGTTTAAAATCGATTTGCAGTTTCTTTCCATCTTGTTCATCATTTCTTATCATCAAATCAAACTTCTAATCATGATTAACAACACATCTTGCAAAGGATCTAGTGTGTTGATCATGATTAGTGAATAGTTACCTTAATGAGGTTCTAGATGTGTAGGTTAGGGTGCTAAAGTGTTAGATTAGGAATGCTTAGGGCTGGATTCATTGATTCATTTCTCTAAACAACTGTTCTCTATGCTAGATCCTTGATAATCACTTGAGATCTAGATTCTGGGAATTTCATGCACCAAAAGTGTTTGATGAAATTCCTGAAAGAGTTGTATTAGAGGTTTAAGCATTTTTCTGCATGGTGATGTATTGTTATTTGCTTGAATGATCATTGAGAACTGTTTATTAATGCATATTGATTCATATTTCACAAATGGGAATTTGGTTTGAAAATGGATTAGTGTAGGGGTTAATACCTTCATGAAAGGATTAACCTAGATTAGAGTTCTTAATCACTTGAATCATGTCTCATCATTGTCATTAGCATTTCTGGTTTAGCACCAAAGCACCCTAATCAACTATCATGTCTAGAATCTCATGCCTCCATCATATCATATTCACATCATTTGTCATTGTCATTTGACTTTAAACCTGTTTAAGTTGTTAGTTGTCATTAGTTAATCAAAATCACTCTTGTTTGCTTGAATTAAGAACTTGATCACATAGTTTAGTGTCTAACACCACATCTGGATTGATAAACCTCTTTGTGCTACATTGACAAGGGGATTGATAGCCCTGAGACCCTAAAAAGTCATATCTATCAATTGGCGCCGTTGCCAAATTGTGGTTGATTAGCATTAAGCTCTGATCTGTTCTTGAGATCAAGTGCTTACTTTCTTGTTTTTACTGATTCCTTTCAAGTTCTGTTTGTGATTTCAGGTGTATGAACACCAGGTCTAGATCAAGAAGCTGTGGTCCACCTTTCCCTCTCAACGACAACATCAACCTTTTGGTACCAAGGAGGAGAAGGGACAGACGTGGTAGACAGATTGATCAGGCTGACATGGAAGACCAAAGAGATCACGTGGTAGATATAGAACAACCGGTTCAGGAGCAACAGGCTCAGGGTAATGGAGTTGGTCAAGGGCTTCATCAGGGTAATGTTCATCAGGAACAGGTGCACCATCAACAAGCTTATGTCCACCAAGGACAAGCTCAAGCTCATCAACAAAGGCATCAGGCCAATGTTCAACAAAGACAACAAGTGCACCACCAACCCCACCCTTTCCAACCACAGCAAAGAAGATATGAGCAACCCCAAGTCTATGTTGGAGAGAATGACAGGGC